AACACGTTGGGATTCGGAGGCACACTGAGAAGATGTCAGATGTGGAGGCTTTTTCCGGTTTGAACCCATTACGGAGGAATTGCCTACGCCAAACATCAAGCAACACATCCTGCACAGGTAGCTGTTGTTCATTATGCCATGAGCCACAATTGCAGTTTGGTTCAGTGCAACGCTTCAACATGGGAAACATGGTGACCAAATGTCGAATGGGAGAGGAAATGAAATCATCCCAGGCAATGGTGAGCTCATCTCGATAGACAAGCACCTTCACCGTGACCACGTCAAGCGAGTCCAACTCAACAGCAGCATGATTGGCCTTTTCGATAAGACCCGTGCCAATTTGGATTACGGTGGCATCTGCAAGGATCGGTTCATTGTCGACAGTGCACTTGCAGGGGATAGCCGCTTGGTATTGTGCAAGAGTGGTCTGAATTGAAACACCAGGGCCATGAAAAATGACCAGTGCCAGAGGCTCCTGCGACACAAGACGACCTGCTCTTAGATATGGTTCAGCCTCAGTCATGCTCATCAAGACAAAACCACTGGAAACTGGGCCGATCTGTTGCACAGACAACTGGGACATGGCACGACCTTGATGAACAAAGATTCCTGGCATGACCAGCAACTTGGTCGGGTCCAAGACAACTTCAGAAGGCACCTGTGGAACCCGAGGTGGCTTGGCAACAGGCATCTTTTTGGTGACCTCATTCTTCTTGTTCGCAGCAATGTTGGCAGCAAGCTCATCAGGTTGAATAAACTGGAATTTCACTTGGTTGGCTAGCATTTTCAAGCGACGCCAGCTCTGCTTTTCTGACAGGGCAGTCTGCACCGCCTCCGCCCCAATTGCCTTCACCGCTTGTTGGGCACGGTGTTCAGATCTGTCTGCAGGCACTCCCCTCTTGACAAGTTCAAATGCAAGATCACTAACAAGCTTGGAGGGTCCATTACCCCAGATTGTCGGGCAAATGCAAGTGGTGCCTCGATAAAGTGCCTCCACAAACCCTGCACGGAAATCAACATGGAACCCATGCAATTCATCCCTGGTAGTTGGCAAAGCACAACCCAACACAACATGCTTAAGGAAACACACAGCCAAGGCTCCACAGAACTCCGTCGTACTCACACAAGGCGGAATGAAATGCAAAACCAAAGTGGCAAAACCCAGTCCTTGCGCAACAATCTCCAGCATGGGGCGGAGCTGTGCATCCAACGCAACATCATCACACATCAGGTGACATTGGAGGCAAGATGCATGTGGGACCATCCAAACAGGGATCCAGTGATCTTCAGAGCAAATCATGGTCAGGATTTGAAAAGCACTACGTCTCAGCAATTGCAAACGGCACCAGCTTTCACACAAGAAACGGCCAACAGTGGCCCAGCATGAGAAAAGAAGGGGCTCAATCATGACAAATCGAATGCCATCAGGCGTTGCAAATTGGTCCGATTCACGGGACAATCGCACAATTTCCCCAAGGTGGAACCTAGCTTCATCATCTCCCATGGCAGAGCCATGTGCAGCGAAAAGCTCAATCCTGTCTTCACGTGGAATGCAACTGTGACCAAGGGGGAGACTAGAGGCATCCCGATCATACTGAGAAATCAAACCTGAGTCCGCCTCTGAACTCACTGGAGGCACTGGGTTAGATGAATCGAGCTCATCACCAGCACCCCAGACCCAAGGTCGGAGTGCAACATTGCAACTTTGCAAGGCATGACAAAATTTCTCTCTCAATACCAAATGGAGATGCTCCGCTTCTTCTTTGGTTGTCAACAGCATCACACCCTTAAGAACATGGTGCAAGAAACCAATGGCAAGGGTTCCGCAAAGGCTGGAGTTCAAGAACATCCTATGGTGTCGGCTGATCAAAGGACTTGGAAAACCAAAACCAATAGACATGCGCATGAGAATGGTGTTCAGGCGATCATGTGAACTGCAAGGAGCATCCCATGTTTCAAAAACCAAATTGTCTCCCACCTTCGAAACGAAAACAGGGATCCAGTGGCCATCAACTTGGAAAGCTGTGATCAAGTCAGCCTTCCCTGCAGGGATGTCAGTGTTTTCAGAGGCCCACTGCTGGCATGATGGGCCCTCATCACGGATCCAACCTGAAGCAAGCAGTGGGTCAACAATGGAAACCAAGCGTGGATTCTCATGGTGACTGCTACGGAACTGGGAGGCTTCACTTTGCAACTGTACAAGATGAAACCTAATCTCATCATCTGCCAGAAGGTGTCCCTGCCTCATCAAAACCTGTGCACGATCTGTCGACTCAATGAATTGACTTCGAAGAGACCACAACTGTGTGGGGTCGCGGACATGCGGAACTGGCAAATGAGCAAACTGATCATCCTTCAAGGACAGCAATGGCGCCACTGAAATCAAAGAATGGGAAACACCAGAATATGCCTGAGTCACATCATGTTTGGGGTCCACACCGGGGCCAATCGATGAAAACTCAACAGCTGGCTCTGAGGCAGCCGATTCAGGCTTCTGAGTCCAGGTGGCTGTCGGCCCAGCGGGATCAATGACAGTTGGCTGCACAAATGGGTGCACTGGCGGCTGGCTCACACCTTGGTCATGCAAAGAAGCTCCTTCGGGCATTATGGGGAGTCGCCCGGATTCCCTTGGTTCAGCTGGCATGTCATTGGCGTGGCTACCCCTGGCTTGCAAATGGACAACCAAAGTCTGGGCTGGCTGAAGAACATGGTCAGTGTCCACCACCCGACCATTCAAAGTGATTTGGCCAATAACCGGAGCACCGATCAAGGCAGCATGTGCAGTCAGGAAAGCATGGACTGTGCTACCTACCGGGGATGCAAAAATCACTGGAGGTTCACCATGAAAAATCACTGCAACCTGGCTTTCATCACACTGAACATCCGGGTAAGTGGCTGTTGGATCAGTGCAAATGGTCTCCATCCATGGGGTGGGAAGCTCATCATCATCATCATCTTCCGTACTATCATGCAGGGGTTTGGAGGGACCCGTCACTTCCATGGATGCATGAGCCTCTGCAGTCTTACGAATGATCAAGTCCAAAATGGCACCAATGCTGATTGGGAAATTCCACAAATCTTGCCAATTGGTTGAATGGATCAGTTCATCCAAAGACAGGCTTGAGTACGGCTTCCAATACGCAGCAAGGGCATTCAAATTGGAATCTGAAATGAGGTCAACTTTGCGGGGCCAGACCAGTCTGCTTCTCATGACAAGCCACGACCTGTACGCCTGCAACTGTGCAAGAGGCGACTGAACAGGGCCACCACATTGGAGAGTGTCAAGCCTGGCAGCAATGGCAGCAAAGACCCAAAGGGCCTGTAAGGGGCTAGCCAACTGTCCCACCGCTGACGACGTAAGTTTCACATTGGGGCCATAATCCAAAACAGGATCAACACCATTCAAGATCATTGCTTCGTTGGGGTGGACATGACGAATGTGAGACTCACCTTGCGCATTCTCAGCACTGCGGACTAAGAGACCAAACAAACCTCTGGTGGCCAGTCTGTGTGGCGATAGACCAGCACTGCGACAATCACACGGGCATGGGGAAAGCTGGGAGCCCCATGCATGCAATGCACACGGTGATTTGCCTTTACTATTCATCATGTATTTGGGATATGTTCCATCATGGATTCCAAAGGCAACCATTTCATCAGGCGTCAGTGTGAGGCTTTCTTCATCTCCCTGGGCCCATAGATGAATCAAAGGAATCAAATGGTCAATTGTTGGGAGGCAATGCAACTCCGGCCATGGTTCAATGGGGATACTACCAATCAACTGTGAGGACAGGATGCACCACCATCGTTCACGGCGGCATGGCCAAATGTCATCAAGTTTGAGGACAACCTGGGTACTCACAAACCCTGCGACATCACAAAAATGCTTCAGCTCACGCTGGACCCAGTCATTGGTACCAGCTGGTGCAACGCATTCCAACACAAGGATATGGCACTGCAAGTAAAACGCAGCAGCAAGCACGGATGTAAGGGATTGGGATCTTTCATCAGCCTGGGCACGTTGATCACCTAAGGCAGAAAACGGCTGGCAGCTGAACCCAGCAGCAACCGTGTGCGCACCACTCGATTGCTTCCATACTTCAAAGATGACATCTGGCTGGCAGATGTCCCCTGTCACACTGGGGATGGAAGACATACGTGAAAACATCTCAGTCATCTTAGGGTTCATATCGTTCCCCACCACCGGCTGAAAACCCATAGCCAATGCACCATGTCCCAAGGCTCCCATCCCTGAGCAGAGTTCAACCACACGATGAAGGGAATCCCAACTCGGAGAGGAATGCTCAAGCACTTTGGTAAAATCATCCATCACAAAGCATGGATACGGATACTGCTGGGTGAAAAGGCAACCCAAAATGGTGAAAAGGGCAAAACTTCCATCCAACAACCCACGGTAGACAAACTTCAATCCCGAAGGGACCATTGACAGCCTGTGATTCTCATGCATGGAATCGAAGACATCGACCTTGCAAACCAGATTGGCACGTGTACCCACATGTGACATGCCCACATCAAAAGGAAAAGCCATTGCACTACACACCGGCCCAACGTTCTGTGAAATCAGCTACACCCCTGGAAGGAACTTGGGCAATCGCAGCTGTGTTCCAAACCACCAACCAGTATGGGTGTTCTGAAATTGAGGGTACCCAGGACTTCACCATGTCATGGTCATCTGATTCTTTTGCCAAAAAAAAAAAGCACCGTCTGATATTTCGGGCACTTCCGTTTTGAGGGTGAAGCCACAAGTCCGGGGGACCATTTGGGGACCATGGCAACGACCTTTGTATCAGAACACTGGCTGAGTCTCAAAGTCCCAGATATGACATGATGTAACTTGCTGCCGTTTAATTGTGATACTGTGATACTCGAAGCTAATCATTTCGGTAATCCCATTACGACATATTACAACCACATATTTCCTTGGCTCCTAAGTGGAGATACCATCATCCCCATACCTCCCGTCATTGCAGCTACGGCTCTGTGCCACCCCAGCAGATGTAGCCCGTCTCGCAATGCTCAGGTTCGATCATGGCCTTGGAGAAGAAGCCAAGGCCATGATCCACGTGTGATGGGCTGTGCAAGATAGATAGCTTGCTTCATAACAAGGATCAGGATATGTGTGGTATATTGTGGTTATACCATGTTATACCTATGGTTTCATGGTGTTCTGAATAGTTATATGTAAATGATAAACTACCATACTATACCTGGGGGGCCACGTTATATGCATTGTATGTGGCTCGGTAGTCTGAGGTTTCTATATGCTCTTAACACCCCAAGGCTCTGAGCGCATCATCACTCCGAAGTTAGTAACTGAACCGAGGTGGAAACAAAAATATGAGGTGGCGCTTTGAAGGTTAAGTGTTGGGTTTCTTAGATAAACTGATAGTTGACTGGATTGACTGTACCAACAGACATTTCACTGCGGGCACCACCGGAGAGTTCAGTCTACGAGTCTATGGCAGCTCCAATGTGTTCATAAAATCCGTTGGGTGTATATAAACCATTCTACTTAACCCTCAATATACCCATTAAACAATACATAATAATCAACATAATAATAAACATAAACAATACATAATAATCAGACATTTAAATATATAATCAAATGCTGCATATATGAATAAAATAAGTATACAGTATACAGTAAAAAAACAACAAATGATATGTTTTCGCCAGACTTTAGTGCTTTCACGTTGACCCACTTCTTGGGGCTAGGGCCGGCTAGGGTGTCATTCCAGATCTGCTGCCCCAGTGGCATAGCGAGGGCAGTAGACGCCCTCAGGGCATGGTTCACATTCGAAGTATCCCGTAGCGTTCATCCAGGTGCCTGGAACCATGGGGTACCATGGTGTTACACATGGGGTACCCCCAAAATGCACAGATCTCATACTAAACCAGGGTTTCTAGGGGCCGACGAAGCATCACATGGATTGATAGGAAACCTAAAAACAGGATGACAGCATTCTATTGAAATACTTCTTGGTATTCGGTGGTATTTGTCATCAAGGATGAAGGATTATCAATTACCATCCCAACAACTTGGATGCAGTGATGCTGTTCATTGCTGTTGTGCCGCTTCCATTGCTTTGAACAACTGCCTTGGGGCCTTGGAATGGTGAGTCACGGTGAGTCATCCCATCTTTGGGATACTGTATCCCGTGGGCTGATCCTACTCATATACGGTAACCGTTAAATTAGGCCCAGGTTCTTCAGGACCCCAATCCCATCCGTCTAACCTTCTAGACCCTCAAGGGATACGGCGGATACGGCTGCAGGCATCCCATACGGCAACTTATAAACGCAGGCATCAATGCAACACTAATATTAGCACAGCCCAAACATCAGTGGAAGCCGGAAACATGCCTGGTTGGTGGTTTTAACCATCTTGAAAACTATGAAAGTCAATGGGAAGGATTATCTCGTATATGAAATGGAAAATAAAGCCATGTTCCAAACCACCAACCAAATGTCATACTCAACATCCAGTCCATTACTTGCTGGCTGTTAAGCAGGAACAGGGGAACCATGGAAAATGATGACGATCATGAACTTCCATTCATGGACTCATAGAATCCATGGTGATAACTTTAACAATTTAAAAACTGGGGTAGGCGCCACCAGGCTTAGTGGGCGCAACTCTGGTGCACATTGCAGATCATCAAAGGGATCAATTGAAACAATGGCAGTGTACATGAAAGGGTTGCATGGAAGGGTGGTATCAGATAAACCTTACTCGATGAAACAGTGCCTATAGATCTTAACAAATTGTATGGTAGAAAATGAAAGTTTGCAAAGGAAGCCATGAAAACAACATCGATAGATATGGAAGACGTCCATCGAAATCATTGTGGCGACATGCGAAAAGCATCAACAAGCATTGATGGAAACACTGATGCATGCCGAGATCATTCGTCATCATGGAGCTGGGTGCTGATAGTTACTTGCTGATCAGCAAGGATGCAAAGCCTGACAGGGTCTAATCTTGTTTAAGCTGCTGGTCAGCAGCAGGGAACCCTTGCTGAACAGCAAGGGTTTTCGTTGACCAACAAAGGTTTAAACGCTTTTGGTTTAAGCACTTATTGAAGTTTCTGCTGCTGGACAGCTGCACGGTTTTAAAAAAGTCGCTGTCTAACCTGGCTTAAGCTGCTGGTCAGCAGCAGGGAACCCTTGCTGAACAACCAGTTTCAAGGCAGCTGTTAGGCGAGTAATGGCATCTTATGGTTTAATCATGATATAATTGGCTGGTGTAAATAAATTTCTGCTGCTGCACAGCAGCAGGGTTCACCTAGAATCTTCCTGGCAAGCAACCATTTAACCTAGTTTAAGCTTCTGGTCAGCAACAGGGGACCCTTGCTGAACAGCAAGGTTCTTGTTGGCCATTAATGGCTACGATGTTTGTGATTCATATGGTTGCCTATTGAAGTTTCTGCTGCTGGACAGCTGCAGGAAACCGTTGCTAAAAAGGAAGGCTGCTGTTGGCCAACGGTGCTTCTAAGTTTTCCATCGCTGGACAGCTGCAAGTTTCAAAAGGATGCTGTTGGCTAGCAAGATTCTAGCTGAACCTTGCTACTGCGCAGCAGCAAAAAGTTAACTGGCGCCAGCCATTTATCCCATGCCTGAACCATAAGATCATCAGTTGGCCAGCAACTGCCTGGAAACTTGCTGTTCAGCAAGGGTTCCCTGCTGCTGGTCAGCAGCTTAAACAAGATTAGACGGTTGCTGGCCAGCAAAATTCCAGCTGAACCCTGCTGCTGCACAGCAGCAGACAGTTAGTGTCACCAGCCACTTATACCATGATCGAACCATAAGATCATTAGTTGCCCAACAACTGCCTTGAAACTTGCCGTTCAGCAAGGGTTCCCTGCTGCTGACCAGCAGCTTAAGTTAGGATAGGCACTTGCACGTCAACAGACTTCTAGCTGAACCCTGCTGCTGTGCTTCAGCATTAAAAACCATTGTCACTGAAACCTGCTGCTCAGCAAAGGAATCCTGCTGCTGGCCAGCAGCTGAAATTTTCGCATGCAATGAATTCAAAACGTGCTTAATGTTGATAAGTCTGCATTGTGGGCGCACGAGGTGCGCAATTTGATTAAAAAAAACAGCCACTTGGCAGCCACTTGCTCCAGCAGCCACTTGGCAGCCACTTGCTGCAGCCACTTGCTGCAGCCACTTGGGGCAAGTGTCTGCGAGTGGCTGCAAGTGGCTGCTTGAGCAAGTGGCTGCTTGAGCAAGTGGCTGCTTGAGCAAGTGGCTGCCAAATGGCTGCCAAGTAGCTGCAAGTGGCTGCAAGTGGCTGCAAGTGGCTGTTGAGCAAGTGACAATACGACTAACAAGTGGCAATTTTCCTTTGTATTGGTATTGGGCTTAAAGATATTGTCCATAATGTCCCCCCCGGTGTGATAGACAGTCCCGGGCTATGCGACATAGACCTTGCAAAAACATGCAAAAACAACTCTAAACAAGAACAGCAACAACAACAAGAAGAAGAAGAAGAAGACAAAGAACAAGAACGAATAGAACAAGGAGAGCAATGAGAACAAGGAGAACAAGATGGAAAACAAAACGGAGAACAAGAACAAGAACCACAACAAAAACAAGAACAAGAAACATAACAATATCAAGAACAAGAACACAACCACAAAGACAAAACTAAGAACAAGTCCTTAACTTTCGATCATCCTTGATGCTACGCCGCAAAATCTTGCCCTTGATTTTCGAACAGCTTTGATGCCACGCTGTCAGATCACAGCCTGTTCTTGCAATCATCCGGGTTGCTACCGTGCAAAATTTGGTCCTTAACTTGCAAATCTTTGTTGCTACGAAGTAAGATCTTGTCCTTAACCTTCAAACATGTTGGATGTTACGCTCTAAGATTCTGTTTGTCTTGTCCCTAACCCTCAAAAGTGTTGGATGACACGCTGTAAGTTCTTGTCCTTAACAAACAAGAACCAGAACAAGAGCAACTATCACAACCACGAGAACAAGATCAAAAGCAATAACCACAAGATCAACAACAGTAACAGTAACAGTAACAGTAACAACAACAACAACAACACCAGCAGCAGCAGCAGCAGCAGCAACAGCAACAACAACAACAACAACCAGAAGAACAAAACAAAAACGAGATAACAAAAAAAACAAGAGCAATAACAACAATAACAACAATAACAACAGCAATGACAAGAACAAAAACAAAAACGAGAACAAAAGAAATAATAGCAATTTCTTTGAAGATCTGGATGCTGCCCAAGAAGAGATTGTCCTGAGCCCTCAAGCATTTTGTATGATTTTGGTTGCTATGGAGTAAGACTCTATCCGACTTTATCCTTAACATTCAATGATCTTGAGTGCTACGGTGCACCGTAAGATCGTGCTCGTGACATTCAATCATCTTGGACGCTACGCTCGAAGCTCTTGTCCTTAACTTTGAACATCTTGGATGATATGCCCTAAAACACTGTCCTTGAATTACAAACATCTTGAATCTTGGATGCCACGCTGTAAGACCTTGCCCTTAATCTTCAAACACCTTTGATGCTACGGTGTCAGGTCTTGTCCTTAAGTTCCGAACATGTTTGATGCTACTCTGTAAGATCCTCTCCTTAACTTTCCAGCATCTTGGATGTTACGGTGTAAGACCCTGTCCTTAACTTTCAATTATCTTGGGTTGTACGGTGTAAGATCTTGTCCCCAACCTTCAAACATGTTGGATGATACGCTGCAAGTTCTCGCCCTTGCCGGGTAAAAACAAGAACCACAACAGCAAAAACAAGATTAAGATTCTGGTTAGGATTGGTATTTTCCTTCAACCAATCTGTTGATGGTTGACTTCAAAACTCTGCAGGGCCTGGTTTATAAAATTTGATATAGGTATGACGATGGAATTCGAACCTCCGCCAGTTAAAATATACCTTTTAAATCAATGATGAAATGCTCAATACCCAAAGTTATAAGTTATAACACACTCAAAGATGTTATGACCCGCAAAACGGCGACTTACAAACCACGCTTGTGACTCACCTACTAAGGTAAACCATCATGATGATTAAACAACCCACAAAAATTCCTAAACAGGTAGTCGTAAGTTCGCTGGCTGCAAGTGGGCGCTGGCCCTCAAATACAAACAATCTGGCCCTTTGTTTTCCTCTTCGAAACAGCTTTTATACCTATGTTTCAATCGGTGGGGGTAGCGGCTGGTGCATGGCTGCTAGCAATCTACGACAGACAATCTTGAACAAAAAGTAAAGTCTACAACATCATTTTTTTTTTTTAAGATGCCACGTCGCTGCAGATGGCTGCAATCAGTTGCAGCTAGTTGCAGCCACTTGCCCAAGCAGCCACTTGCATCCACTCGCAGACACTTGCCCCGAGGGGCTGCAGCAAGTGCCTGCCAAGTGGCTGCCAAGTGGCTGCTTGAGCAAGTGGCTGCCAAGTGGCTGCAAGTAGTTGCTTTTCCGAAAATCAAAATGATGCACGTTTGCTCGCTCTCTGTAAGTTTGGTTTCTCAAAACTAAGGTTCCCAAAATGGAAGCCTCAGAATTGTCAAGAGCGATCATGAACGCTAAGGGCGCTTAATGTTGATAAGCTTGGTTTTTCAACATCAGGGTTCCCAAAATGGATGCATCAGAACTGTCGAAAACCATCATCAACATCAAGGGCACTAAGTGTTTATAAGTTTGGCTTTTCAACATTAGGGTTCCCAAAATGGATGCATCAGAACTGTCCAAAGCCAGCATCAATATCAAGGGCGCTTAGTGTTTATAAGTTTGGGTTTTCAACAGTAGGGTTCCCAAAATGGATGCACCAGAATTGGAAAGCAATTATCAA